AGAGCTGCTCTCTTTGCTAAAAAAATTAAAATTATCCATAATGATTATATATATTAAGATTGTTGGAAAAACAACTCACATTTTTATGATAAAATTTTCGTTGCAATTTCATCTTTGTAGACATGTTGCAAGAAAAATAATATTTTCACTAATCAAATATATACACAAACTCTCCAAAATAACTCTACTCAAACAATATAGTTTTCAAACTCAACATACTAAGACTCTCCGACATAACAAAAAGTTTTCAAACTCTCCAAACATAATAGCTCTCAAACTTTCCAATTCAAAAGTACTTTGTTCTCAAAATATAATACAAAACTCCCTACAAAAAATTAAAGCTCTTCTGAACAATGGCACTCTACAAGCATTTCAAAATCCTCCCTACACAAGCTCTTATAATTATCTGCGAGCTTCCTGAACTGTTGCAAGTATCACATACCTGCAAATAAGTAAAACAAGAATTAATGCTTCATGAATAAATCAAATTAATGCTAGAAAATAAAAATTTAGTTACTGCAGGTAGAAAAGAGTACTGGAAATAGAGAAAAGCTAAGTACGAAAAAGCTAGTAGAGCAACAGTGCTAAAAAGATTGGTAGGGTAGTGGACTACTGTAGTAGGAAAAAGACTACGAGCACACAACAACTACAACACTGATGCCAGTGTCAAAACACTGAAGTGTCAAAATCACAAATTCAAATCAACTCAAACAAGTACATAACAAATCTCTAAATATTATACAAGCAACTATAGTCTATCCAAACAATCAAATTCAAAGCAAAATCCTTGGGCATCCTTGTTTAGAAGAACTTGGATGTAAGACCCACTACCCAGCAACTTTTGTAGGAAAGTCGTAAGCACGACCTTAGGGGGAAGTTTTAGGTAAAAAATTGACCAAACTCCTAACCCCCAATTAAAACCCTTGGCCAATTCTAATAGAAGTCGTAAGTCCGACCTCTGAGATAAATGTTTAGGATATAATGCAACCCTAGACCCCTCACACGGGAATCCTAGCCTATAGGATTAGGTTGTAAGACCCACTAGTAGACTACTAAGTAAAGCCATAATATTTTAGGAAAATTACTAAATAAATTATAATAACCCTAAAACCCAAATAATCAAATTTAAATATATGGGAATCTTAATCGAAAGGATTAAGTTGTAAGTAAGATCCGCTTTTTTCAGGCTACTTCCTAAGGGAATCCATATGTCCTACTGTTAGACTGATCCATAGAGAACCGGTCTAGCCGACCCAATCCATTGGGCCGGCTCTATTCATTTACGGGAGAAGAAAAAAGGCAGAACCAACAAGGGAGCCGGCGGAAACATCAGGGATGGAATAGGTGTGGTCCACTTGTTTTTCAAATTGAATCTTGGAGCCAAAAGGAGTGGAAGCAAGGGCAATTAAGTCCTTTTATGTCATTTTTGAATTGTATGCATTAAGTAGGGAGAAAAGGATAGATTAGGGTTATGTGAGGATTTAGAAGGGGCATTGGGCAAGGCAGAGCAAGGGAAGATCGGGATACGTGGTGGGGTCCAGGCACATGGGAAAGGGGAAACTATGGAGGATTAAGGTGAAATGGCGGGCATCGGAATGTGAGAAAATTGAAAATGCCAATTTTTGAAGGGGAGAATGCCTATGGGTGGATTTACAAGGTGGAAAGGTACTTTGTTGTTAACGGCTTGACTAAAGATGAGAAATTATCGGCAGCAGGCCTATGTCTAGAAGGGAAGGCACTCTCTTGGTACCAATGGAGAGATCAGAGGAGACCTATCCGAAGCTGAGGAGAATTCAAGGGCAGTTTGTTAGAGCATTTCCAAACCGATCGGGGAGGAGACTTCTACGAGCAGTTCTTTGCCCTAGTACAGGAGTGGTCTGTGACCGACTATCGAGGTTTAAGCATCTAGCCAGCAGGGTGGAGCGCTTGTCTGAGACGGTGCTGGAGGGAAATTTTATGAAGGGGTTAAAGGCCGAGGTGCGAGCAGCGGCGAAGGTCCTGATGCCCAGAGACCTAGGGGAGGCCATGAATCTTGCACAGTTGTCGAAAATCAAAAGAACATGGAGAAGGGAGAGAAGAGTACTAGTAGCTCAGGAGGCACTTACAGGTGGACGACTACCCACCAAGCCACCAAGGGAGCTTCCCCAGGAGAGATGAAAGCAGTTCCAAAGGAAAAAAGCAACAGGAGGAGGAAATGGGGGACAGTTCAAGAGGCTCACTGACAAGGAAATGCAAGAGAACAGAACGAAAGGGTTGTGTTTCCGATGTGATGAAAAATATATGCCAGGGCATAAGTGCAAGGATCGAACTCTTCAGGTTCTCCTTGTTTGTGAAGATGAGGAAGACGAAGAGGGTGGGGGAAGCGATCCAGAGGTAGAGGAGGAAAAGATGCATCTGGATGTGGCAGAAGTCTCTCTCAACTCTGTAGTGGGATTCACTCCAAGTCACACTATGAAGGTAAAGGGAGAGATAGCTGACCGTGGAGTCGTGGTGTTGATTGATAGTGGGGCAACCCACAATTTCATTTCCACCTAGATTGTGGAGCTGCTGGGGATGAAGTTAGTGGATACTGGAGGCTATGGGGTGATGATGGGCACTGGGAAGGCGGAAATGGGAAGAGGAATCTACAAAAAAGTGGTGCTGAAAATCCAAGGCAAGCAAGTGAAGGAAGACTTCCTTCCCCTAGAACTGGGGAGTACGGATGTCATCCTAGGGATGAAGTGGTTGCAAACTTTGGGGGAAACCAAAATCAATTGGGGCACACTACGGATGGAGTTGATGAAGGGAGGAAGGAAAATGGTGATTCAAGGGGATGTAGGGCTGACCAAGGCAGGGGTTCTCTGAAATCCCTAATCAAGACAATTCAGGAGGAAGGGGAAGGCTACTTGGTGGAATTACACATCATAGAGGGAGTGGGTGGGGAGGAAGGGGGAGACATACCCCTCTATGTGTAGCCTTTGATCCTGGAGTTCGAGGAGGTTTTTCAATCCCCTATAGGGTTGCCACCACCCAGAGAGCAGGAGCATGCCATCACATTAAGAGAGTGAGTGTCGTCGGTCAGTGTGCGACCTTACCGTTACCCTCAGTTTCAGAAGGATGAAATAGAAAAGTTAATCAGAGAAATGCTGGAACCAGGGATCATCAGACCCAGCACCAGCCTGTTCTCTAGTCCTATTCTATTGGTAAAGAAGAAGGATGACAGTTGGCAGTTTTGTGTAGACTACCGCCCACTCAACAAGGAAACGGTATCTGATAAGTTTCCCATACCAGTGATAGACGAATTGTTGGATGAATTGAGTGGAACGGTGATTTTCAGCAAGATCGACCTGAAATCGGGATATCATCAGATTCAAATGAAGAAAGAAGATGTGCCAAAGACTCGCTTTTAGAACTCATGAGGGCCACTATGAGTTCCTGGTGATGCCCTTTGGCCTCACCAATGCTCCAGCCACTTTTCAGGCACTCATGAATATGATTTTCAAACAGTACGTGAGGCGATTTGTTTTGGTATTCTTCGATGACATCTTAGTGTATAGCAGAACAGAGGAAGAGCACCAGCTGAGAGCTAACTTGAAGCTAGTGTGAAGTACCTAGGTCATGTGATATCCAAGGAAGGGGTAGCAGCAGATCAGTCCAAGATTGAAGCCATGCTTAAGTGGCCTTTGCCCAAAAATATAAAGGAGCTGAGGGGATTCCTAGGGCTTACAGGGTACTACAGAAGATTTGTGAGGGGATACAGCACAGTAGCTTGGCCACTCACTGAGCAGTTGAAGAAAGATGGATTCTTATGGGGGGAGGCAGCTACGACAATATTTGAGCACTTGAAGAAAGCTATGACCACAGTTCCGGTCTTAGCATTACCGGATTTTACTCAGGCCTTTATAGTGGAGACAGATGCATCAAGATACGGGCTAGGAGCAGTGCTGATGCAGAGTCACAAGCCCATTGCTTATTTCAGCCAGGTGTTGACTACTAGAGTCCGTCTGAAATCTGTCTATGAGAGGAAATTGATGGCAATTGTTTTGGCCATCCAAAAGTGGCGTCCCTACTTACTTGGAAGTCATTTCATCATCCGGACCGACCAACGGAGCCTGAAATATTTGTTGGAGCAGCGCATGGTGACAGAGGAGCATCAGAGGTGGTTATCCAAACTGCTCGGGTATGATTTTGAAATTCAGTACATGCCCGGGGTAGAAAATAAGGCAGCAGATGCCTTGTCCAGGTGCATGGGTGAGCTGCAAATAGTAGCGGCAGAGCTGATTTAGTGAATGAAGAGGGAGGCCATCCAGGGTACTCATTGGAGGGGGAGAGATTGTTGTATCAAGGGAGGTTTGTGCTGCCCAGAAAGTCAGTATACATCCCACAATTGCTCCAGGAGTTCCATGAAACTGCAGTGGGAGGTCATTCAGGAGTGCTAAAGACTTATAGGAGACTAGCGGCAGAGTTGTACTAGAAAGGTATGCATAGAGATGTGGAAGATATGGTATCCAGGTGGGAGGTGTGTCAAAGAAATAAGTATTTAGCTATATCACCAGGGGGTTACTGTAGCCATTGGCATTACTAGGACGAGTCTGGGAGGAGATATCTATGGACTTTATTGATGGGCTACCCCGCTCGGAAGGATTCACTGTGATTCTAGTGGTAGTGGATAGATTGAGCAAATATGCTCACTTTATTCCTTTACGCCATCCATACACGGCGGTGACAGTAGCGTTGATCTTTATCAGGGAGATAGACTACATGGAGTGCCAGAGGCGATTGTATCAGATAGAGATAAAGTGTTCCTCAGCCATTTCTGGAAAGAATTGCTCAGACTGTAGGGGACGGTGCTAAAAAGGAGTACAACTTACCACCCACAGAAGGATGGCTAAACAGAAGTAGTCAATCAGAGCTTGGAAACTTATCTGAGATGCTTCGCATCAAAAACACCCAAGCTATGGGCTAAATGATTATCATGGGCCGAGTACTGGTACAACACCTCTTTTCATTCAGCCTCTCAGATGACCCCATTTAAGGTGTTGTACAGAAGGGATCCGCCCCACTTGGTGCATTTTGGGAGTAGCAGCACACCCGTTTCTTCAGTAGAAGAGTATTTGGAGGAGAGGGACAAGACACTGGAAGAGTTAAAAAGACATCTGTTGAGGGCTCAACAGATTATGAAGAAACAAGCTGACGGGCATCAGAAGGATATTCAGTTTGAGGTGGGAGAGAAGGTATTTTTGAAACTCCGCCCATATCGACAGAAATCGATCGCCAACCGGATGAATGAGAAGCTTTCTCCAAGGTACTTCGGTCCTTATGAAGTACTGGAAAAAATTAGAGTCATGGCATGTCGTCTAAAGTTACCATCGACAGCGACGATCCATCTGGTTTTCCATGCATCCCAGCTAAGGAGATCCATTAGAGACTATGCTACAAGTTATGAGTTACCCGGGACATTAACAGATGAAATGAAAATGGTCTTGGAACCTTTGGAACTCATGGAGGTTCGTTAGAAAGCAGATGGAGCCACAGAAGTCCTAATCAAATGGAAGAACCTCCTTGACTACGAGGCCACGTGGGAGCCATACGAGCGGATGAAGAGACAGTTTCCTGACTTCTACCTTGAGGACAAGGTGGTTCTTTGGGAGGGTGGTAATGTTAGACCAGTCCATAGAAGACCGGTCCAGCCGGCCCAATCCATTGGGCCGGCTCTATTTGTTTACGGGAGAAGAAAAAAGGCGGAACCAGCAAGGGTGCCGGCGGAAACAGCAGGGAAGGAATAGGTGGGGTCCTCTTGTTTTTCAAATTTAATCTTGGAGCCAAAAGGAGTGGAAGCAGGGGCAATTAAGTCCTTTTATGTTATTTTTGAATTGTATGCATTAAGTAGGGAGAAAAGGATAGATTAGGGTTATGTGAAATTTGCATGGAGTTTTCTTGTTCTTCTTTGGTGGATAGGGCTCTAGATCGAATTCTAGAGATTGGGAGAGTGCGATCCTCCTCTCGAATAGAGGATCCTTGTATCTTTGCTATTTTCCTTGCATCTATTAGTAAAATACAAGTCTTTTCTCCATGTTTTATGCAGTTTTTCTCTGTTTTTCCTCATTTTTGGGCTGTTTTCCTGCTGTGGACAGCAGTTGGTTTTGAGATTTGTTGCCAAAGTGATTAGGAAATACTTGAAATCAAGTATTTCCTATCACCTACCCAATCAATTAAAACCTATGGGCAGCATTGCTATAGAGTTAGGTTGTAAGAACCATCCTTGGACAACTCATAAATAGAGCAATAAGCCCCATTCCAAATCAAAATACCTGGACTACTTTCTACGAAAGCCATAAGTCCCAACCTAAATCTAAATACCTGAGCTACTTCCTAAAGAAACCATAAGACCTGCTCCAATAACTCTTGGGTTACTTCAACATGAAGTCATAAACCCCAAACTAAATCAATTTATTGGTATTCTAATAGATGTATACCCCAAACCCCAAACTAAAATTAAAACCCAAATCTCACCACTTCAGTCTACTCGGGATCTCTGAGATGAGGTAACCCATGGCTGCTAATCAGATTCCCTAGACACTACGATCAATGATTGTTAGTGTTGGTAGACTGAAATCTATGGTATACCCTGGACGACGGAACCATGGGATCATGATCGGGTTTACCTCCACTTCCCCTACTATTGAGACTAAAATTTATTCATCCTTAATCGAGAGTTCTCTCTTACGTAGTAAGAGGGGTAATTAACTATGAGTTTTTGCACTCATAGAAAAATAGAACCTCAGATCTTTAAACCCTGACACTACTCTTAAGAGAAATCTGGTTAACTACAATCTAACTTAAGGAAAATGGAATCCTACAACTGCAAAGCAGGATTCATACATTCGTGCCATTTTTCTTGAGCCAACAATTTGAATGCAGTTTTGGGATTGACTGATTTAGTTTGAATTATTCACATCAATGCCAATCTAATGGATGGTTGAGATTGATTGAATATGATTGAGGTTTGATTGAGGTTTAATTGAGGTCTCGATTGAAGATTAATTAAAGCTTGATTAAAGTTTGATTGAGGTTTGGATTGAAGTCTAAAATGAAGATTAATTGAACTTTCATTGAAGTTTGATTTGAGATTGATTGAGGGGCTAGATTGAAGTTTTATTGAAGACTAGATTGAAGTTTGATTGAAGACTGGGTTGAGGTTTGATTGAAGACTAGATTGAGGTTTGATTGAAGACTAGATTGAGGTTTGATTGAAAATTGGATTAAGATTTGAACTGAAGTCTAGATTAAAGATAAGATTAAAGTCTAAATTGAGGTCTAGATTGAGTTCTAGAAGATTGATAACTGCATAATTATCAGCCATCATATCAACAGGCAAGAGTCTGGAAATGTCCTAATAACCTAATACAAAAATGAGGTCAATTGATACGAGCACCCCATGTAAGATTACTAAACGCTTATGGTCGTCGTTGCTAAAGAGTGGGGCTAGTTAACTTGTTTGTCGGGTCGGTTGCCTACGTGATTAAGGCCTGATGCTTCACTCGGATGGTCCAAATCAAAAGTTTTTGGGGTCCTTGAACCTGTTTTTGACAGTCCGAAAAGAATTTTGACACTTTTAGAGCCTAATGGAGCCTTTATGGTTAAATTGAAAAACTTTTAAGAGTTTTAGTGAAATTTTTTTTACGTCTTTCACCACATTAAATAGGTTCGCTTCATGAAACACTCAAATTATAATCTAGGATATTTTACCCAATTTGTGGCCCCGATGGAAGTTCCATGTTAATGTCCGGGAAACGATTGTGCCTCATAATTTTCCCAAAATTATGATTCATTGTAACTTTCAAGAATGCTCAAACAAATTTTTGGATTTCACAAGCTATGATATCAAAAAAGTGGGACAACAAATATATGACAAAAAAAAAACTTCTTGGTTCAGCACGAATTTTGAGCCATATCCAAGTTTGAAACTTCTTAAATTAAATTTAGGACCATCTAAACATTAATTTAAGCAAACTTATACTTATACTGCACATCTCAAAGAGCCGAACCTAATGACACAAAAATCGGACCAAATCTAGCCCAAATGGATCCAAATCAAGGAAGTTTATAAGCATAAATTATATGATCAAATAATATTAAAATATGACACGCTTATAGTCAAATCGAGTGGCTCAATGAGGCAAAATCAATGTGCCAATATTGCTTAGTTTTTACATCATTTAATAACATAAATGATCACAAATTATCTATGATAAAGGCGATCAATATGGGTTTTCCGAAGGAGCGCCCAAGATTTTCTTTAGATCTTCTTCATATTTACGGGGCATGCCACTCTAAAAAATAAATGAATAGTGCTTCAACTTCCAACATGAAAAAGGGAATTTGGCCGTCGTAAGCTTAGATCTTTTGTTGGAGATTGAAGAGATCTCTAAGACTTTAATGATTTAAAGCTCCACCCATGCACAAATGTAGGAGATCTTCCATCAACCAACTGGACCACCGCCCGGCTGCACGATTACCGCCATACTTCCACCCAACCATAGTCAAACCATCGCTCCATCACAAATAGATGCCAGGCCTCAAACTTACTGGACCACTGCCCAGCTTCCTTCGATAAACCACTATGATCTTCGTCGCCTGGTGACTACTATCACATCAACCAATGTCGCATGCTGAATATTATTCCTCTAACCTCCATCGCTAGCTGACTATAATCCATCTGACCTCTATGGCCCACTGAATATAGGGTCCCTCAGGCCTCCATTGCCAACCGACTACGGTCCCTCAAACCTCCATTTTCTAGCATCTACTGTCCCTCTAGCCTCCATGGGGATCTGACTATAGTCCCTCCAACCTTCGTCGCCCACCGACTACAGCCCCATCGACCTCCATGGACACTAAACTATGGTCCCTCTGACCTCTATCACTCACCAACTAGAGTCCCTCCGACCCCTATTGCCCGCTACCTACAATCCCTACGACTTCATTTTCCTGTCGACTACGGTCCCTCCGACCATTGTAGCCTACTAACTATGGTCCCTCAAACCTCCATCACCAGCCGTTTATGATCCCACCAAGCACCGTTTCCCGTCGAGTAAGATCCCAATGACCTCCATCGCACGTTGACTATGGTCCCTATGATTATCATCACCTTTCGACTATGATCCCTCAGACCTCTATCGCCCGCCAAGTACAATTCCTCTGACCTCCATCGCCTATCGATTACGGTCCATATGACCACCATTGCCAGCCAACTACGTTCCTTTCGACCACCATTGTCCCTTGACTACAGTCCCTCAACCATCATCACCCATCAACCATGGTTCCTCTATCCTTAATCTCCGGTTAACTATGATGCCTCACACCACCATCATACACTAACAATAGTCCCTCCAACCTCTGTTGCCCAACCATTTTGGTTCCTCTGACGTCCGTCGACTATGGTCCCTTCGACCTTTTTCACACAAGTCGACTACGATCACTCCAACCTCAATTTCTCTGACTACGATCCTACCAACCAATGGAATAGGCCAACACTCTCTTGAAAACAACTCTCATATTAGTAGTTTCTTCTAACTCTCACCATATAATATGCTCTCTATTTCCTACATTGAGCCAA